CAGTTACAGAAAATTTTAACAAGTTAGATATTTAAAAGTGTAGAGGTACTGGCTTCATAAAATAACTAAAAAGCTAAAAAAGTTAGGAAACATAAATTAAGTTACATTACGGGTCGAAGATATACAGTATCATTATACACACAAACACAAAACTATACTATATTTACACATACACTAATACAAGTTCTACCATAGTTTTCATTATAATGAAAAATTGAAATACCCTAGTCAAATATTTGAATCATAAAAATCTTGATAAATATGATCAACAACATGTACAGCTCATATATCGACATAAATAACAATTTATATAATAATCCCCGAACCAACGGCGCCAGGCCGCATGGCTATTTACATCCGGAACACACACGGAAAAAGGACAACCTCGCAAGCCATGCATGCAGGGTCTTTTACCTGCGCTTGGGCTACAGCAACTGAAGACCCTGGTTCCCTCTGGTCACGTGAACCCCCAGATTTTAGGGGTAATTCGAATTGCCACCTCTTTGCCACTTTATAGGGAGGAGTGGTAGGGGGAATTGCCACAAAAAGCCAGGAATGGCCAAGAGCGAAAATGAAAACATCTATACTATGCCTATGGAAAACACGGCCATTTACGCTCTGTATTAACGCATATTTTGGGTTTTGTTGGTTTTTGTGTTATCTTCTATTAAATATGTCACCGCTTGAAAGCTTTTTACACCTATTTGATATAATTTGCATGGTTGTAGGTCTGTTTTACACCTTGAAGTGGAGCCGTTTATTTATCAACGCAAAGAAAATAAAGGTCGAATGCACACTTTATACAAAGTCATTCAGGGGCTGATTACATGGAGAGTTTTCAGCCCGGTTTCCCGGGCCTAGTTTTCAGCCCGGCCTAAGGATAAAATCCTATTAAAACACAGCAAGCGATTATATGACCGAAATTCCTGAAACTGAAACTCGGCCCGGCAGCATGTAATCGCAAATAATTTCAGCCTGGGATAAAAAAACAACCATTTAAATGACGTTATTTTGCGTGTTTGTTTCATCTTTAAATACTTTACATATAACCACAGCAGGGTTTATTTTAAGAAAAATTTAGAACTGCATATATTAAGGATGCTACGACGCATCACGTGTTTGGCTGGGAGGTCAAAGGGTGTTTGACTGGGGGTCAAAGGATTTTTACCTAGTACTTAACGTTGTACATTTATAGTTAACGTTGTAAATTATGATAGACTCTTAATTTGTATATAGGTGGTAAAAAATTTGTTGTTGGGTGGGGTCAGACAAACTCGATTCTGGGTGGGGGAGCTACGGGTAGGGGGTGCCCCCCAAATTTTGAATTTAGAGGCTCGTAAGTTCTGGCAAAGATTTGTTTCTCGCAACCACCCACAAAAACTGTTTCAAAACATGTAACTGGGAATCATGAATACTCAATATATAATAACCTTAGGCAGCAAAGAATGTTAAGTTCTCCCACTCTAATCTCTTTTGGATAGCTTCGCTCGCACCAATTTTACCTCCTGTTCCATTACCCCCAGCACGTATGTGATTTGTGAGGAAAATATGAGGGTCTGGTGGTCCTCTCCCAGAAAACATTTAGATTTTTGATGCTGAATGACAGCATTCCTGGCATCTGGAGCATCCACAAGGAAAACGAGTAAATGAGAAGACTGTTTTGAGGTTATATTTTCGTTAATTTGGTGACTGCACATTTGAGTTTTAAGAACTGCACAAATGGGTTTAGAACTGCACATTTTGTGTAGAACTGCACGTTAAAATAAACCCTGAACCACAGTCTCACACAAATCAAATAGTCGACTAATCAGCGTCTGATTGCTTCAAAGAAGCGTAACAGGCTTATTGTCCTATTTCGTGACACTCAGATTATTTCAGCCTGGGCTGACATTTCAGCCCGGGTTGACTATAAATATAGCTCTGACTAAACTCAGACAGGGCTCAAAATGCTCATGTAATCGTGATACAATTTCAGCTCGTTTAACCGGGCTGAAACTCAGCCCGGGCTGATAACTCTCCATGTAATCAGTCCCTCAGTAGCTCTCAAGCTATGCCCTATGGCACAGCGTGTTGAGAATTGCCCCCTGATAGTTCTCAACACAATAAGTTTTAGTTTTCTGTAGTTTTAATAACGTTTATACGCACTATAAATCTCTCACAACACGCTGTCTCAAAATTGTTCCACAATCACAATAACAACTACCGGTATATTCCGGAACTTTCTGACAGAGTTCAGTTCGGACTCGCGCGTCCCACGCGTAACAAAACATAATATATAATGACAGTTTTCGACACCCTCCCCCCATATAGCTTGTAAAGGATATATGTTCTCAAGGAAACTTTTACTGTAATTTATCAAGTTCTAATGTGTCAATGTTTACACTTGTTCTTCATTTTCGATTTCTGCCATTTCCTGGATTCTGGAACGCGCTGCCACTGCCGCGTCTCGAGTTGGTCGGAAAACAGGAGCTGTTGGGTTAAGGGGTGGAGGGTCCTCTTGACGCTGATTGCACGACAACTCTAGAGGGTACAGGTGATTAACCGCTCTCTCCAAGTGACCATTTGACGTTTTCACCTTTGCTGCACGGATGACACCATCTCTCCCCGGAAAGAGTTCTTCAACTATTCCCAATGGCCACTTTCCTCGGTTTCTTTCATCAGAAGCGATGATTACAACTTCTCCGACAGACAACGTAGACGGCTTCCCATGGTGTTTCATGTTGTGCTTCTCTCGTAAAGCTCGTAGATACTCGGTACTCCATCTTTTCCACATATGATCTTTGCATGTTTTGAGATATCTCGCTCGTTTTCTGAGATCTCGATTTTCTTCATGGTGAGGTTCCAACTCAGGTAATACGGTAGTGCCAACGAACTGTAAACTATTTGGCGTCAGTGTAGGTAACTCTATGTCATCTTCCTGATATCCCAATGGGCGATTGTTTAAAGTCACTTCGATGTCTAACAGTACGTCTTGCAACTCGCTCCAAGTTAAACAGCTGTTTCCAATTGACTTGTATAACGCGCGTTTTACTAGTCCGACGAGTCGTTCGAATTGCCCGCCCCACCAAGGGGCGCGACTCAAGTTGAACTGCCAATGAATTCTCTCGTTCGCCAATTGGTTGTGGAATTGCTCATCAGATTGTACCTTCTTTAACCATGTTGATGCAGCTGCAAACGTTCCTGCGTTATCCGAGTAAATCTTCTCAGGTCTCCCTTTTCTTGCTATGAGCCGTTTCAGTGTTTGCAGAAATTCACCTGTTTCCATCGTTTTCGTCAGCTCCAAATAGATTGCTAGACACAGACTACACGCGAACAATGTCACATACGCTTTTCCTTGTGTTTTCTTTGTCACGCGATATTTTATCGGTCCAGCAAAATCCACTCCCACGACTTGGAATGGACGGTTACCTTGGGTACGATCACGCGGTAAGTTTCCCACTGGTGGTCTTGCGACTCGTTTGGCGTGGAATCGTCGACACCCGAAACATTTCTTCATTACTTTCTTCACCAACTGTCTCAGCCTAGGCACCCAATATCGCTCTCTAATTTTTGTCATGGTCAAACCAACTCCCCCGTGTAAGCTGCGCTCGTGAGCATCTTGGACCAATCTTTTGGTGTAGAGATGGTCATCGGGTAGATATATTGGGTATTCTCCTTGCAATCGACCGTTACAATACATCACTCCGTCTCCTTCGTTCGTCTTCACATTAAGCCGTAGCTTGTCTTCGGTTGCTTGGTCATTTTGGTATGATTGAGCTCGTTTTACCCAGAACGCGTGTTCGTTGTTGATTTCTTCAGTTATTAACGGTCCTTTGTGACGGTTTTCTTTTTCGGCTCTGCAGTTGAACACGAATCGATGCACCCAGGCGATAACTCTGATGGCTTTCGTCAATGAAAACTTTGCGAGAATTCGAAGGTCGTCAAACTCATCTCTCGAAACCACGGCTGCACTGAAAAGTTCTTTCACTGCTTTTGCTTCAGACTCGCTTTCGGGAGTAGCTATCGTAACAATATCTGGAGGCCATTGATCTGGGTTTACCAACCATTCTGGGCCGTTCCACCAAACGCGATTTCCCGATACTTTGCCTCCCCTGCTTCCCAGGTCGGCTGGGTTATCATTTGTAGGTACATGGCGCCAGGTGATTTCAGGATGCTCTTGAATCTTCTTGACCCGGTTTGCTACAAATTGTTTATGCTGTCCACCGCCTCGTAACCACTGTAATGCAACTGTGCTATCAAGCCAACCGAATACACTTATCACTGGGACATAATCAATTGCTTGTTGGACATTGGATACAAGATTCGCGGCCATGTGAGCCGACACGAGTTCCAATCGAGGTATGGTGAGATCCTGTTTTGCTAACCGTGCTTTAGCAGCAACTAAACCAACGTTAACACCCGACTCTTGCTTCGTAATGGCATACACCGCAGTAGAAACTCCCTTTTTGCTTGCGTCACCGAACGCATGTAGCTCGACTTCGTCTACGATTTCCTGATGAACTGCTATGGATCTAGGGAAAGTCACTTGCTCAGGGAGTTCTTTCACCCATTGTTAGTATTCACCAGATAGTGGTTCTGAAATTTTCACATCCCATGGTACTTTCTGTTTACATGCCTCACGGTAGATATGCTTCCCTTTGAGAGTGACAGGCGAAACTAGTCCAAGCGGGTCATATATTCTCGCAAGATTTCGCAAGAGTTCTCTCTTCGTTACAAATGTTTCCCGTTAATGGGCTGGGCTAGTCCGTACGTTGTCCGTGCCAAGATTCTTCTGCAACGCACCTGGTCTCGTGGCCTCCAGTGGGATGAACAACTTCCACCGGACTTAGCAATTGAATGGCAGAAGTGGGAGGAGGAGATGATTTGGCTCAAAGCTTTCTCGGTCCCGCGCTATATCTACCGTGAGCCTTCGAAAGTCTGATCTAAGTTTCTCATAGTCTTTTGTGATGCTTCAGAAGTAGCCTACGCCGCTGCTGCCCTTATACGTGCAAAGTCAATCGATGGAGATTACGTGTGCCATTTGATTATGTCGAAGACTCGTTTAATGCCGCTTAAGACAGTCTCTATTCCGCGCGGAGAATTGATGGCTTGTCAACTTGCTGTCCGACTGGCGAAGTCTGTCTGTGAGCAACTGGAACTTGACGAGTGTCGTGTCAAGTATCTGTCTGATTCAACGACTGCGTTATGGTGGATCAAGAGTGAGCCAAGGAAATTCCGTCCATTTGTTGCCAATCGAGTGGCAGAGATCCTGTCGGAGAGTGATCCAATTCAGTGGCATCACATTGGCACGAAGCTGAATATTGCAGATATTGCGAGCAGAGGAACGTCTGTAGCTGATATTTCCGCTGATTCAACCTGGATTCAGGGACCAGAGTTCTTAAAGTCTGAGTTCTCTGAGTGGCCTGTTGATAAAGTTGCAGTTGATTTTCCAGAGCCAAGTCAAGCGGAGTTGAAGAAATCGGTTTTGAAAGCAAAGGTCGCACCAGCGAAGCAAGTTATTGATCCTGCCGCGTATTCTAGCTGGATCAAAATCACCCGAATAACCACATGGATATTTCGCATGTGTAACAATCTGCGCAACAAAGAGAAACGAATATCGGGACCGTTGACTGTGGACGAACTCGATAATGCTAACTTGTACTGGATCAAATGGGGCCAGAGCGATCGCTTCCAAGACGAAATCGAAGCGTTGAGAAAGGGTCGTCCGGTTCCACGAGATAGTCGTATTGCAAGTCTTGATCCCCAACTCGTGGACGGTGTTTTACGGGTAAACGGCAGAATCGAAAAGGCGGAAATTCCGTGGGAGTCGAAGCATCCAGTTATATTGGACCACGGACATGATGTCACCCGGTTGATCGTGATCCACTACCACCGAAAACTTATCCACGCGGGAGTCGAACACGTCTTTAATCACGTACGTGAGAAATACTGGATTTTGCACGGTCGAGCCGAAGTTAAGAACTGTACAGTTAAGTGCCCACTATGTTTTCGCCGTCGTGTTAAACCTATGGCGCAGAAAATGGCTAATTTACCGAATGTACGTCTCGCAGGCGCAAGTGTTCCTTTTCGAAACGTTGGGATTGATTATGCCGGACCGTTTGATACTCGAATTGGACGCAATCGAAAGGAAAAACGCTATATTTGCTTATTTACGTGTCTCCATATGCGCGCGGTTCATCTCGAGGTCGCACATAGTTTGGACACTGACTCGTGTATAATGGCGTTGCGACGATTTCAAGCTCGTAGAGGAGTCCCTGTTTGTATAATGAGTGATAATGGGACAAATTTCGTAGGTGCCGAAAGAGAGTTGCGCGAAGCGTTGGAAGATCTGGATCAAGAGAAAATCTCGAATGAGTTAACAGCACGTGGAGTACGTTGGATCTTTAACCCGCCTGCTGCCCCCTGGTTTGGAGGTGCCTGGGAAGCGTTAGTAAAGTCTGTCAAACGGGCATTGAAAGTTATGCTTGGGAATGTTCTCACAGTCGATGAAGTTTTCCTTACTGTCATTGCCGAGGTAGAAGCGATGCTGAACTCTCGTCCGCTTGTCTATGGTGGAAGCAGTGATTCACCAACAGATCTCAGCGTGATTACACCAAACCACTTCTTGCATGGTCGTGCGAGTTCGAACGTGTCGCCCGGCGAGTTTAACCAACGAGATATGTCGTTACGTCGAAGATGGCGTCATAGCCAGTTCTTAGCGAACCAATTCTGGCGCCGATGGTCGAATGAGTACATTCCGCAGTTAATAAAGCGAAGCAAATGGAATGTTGCACACAGAAATCTACGTCGCGGTGATCTTGTCTTGATCGTTGAGAAGGACGTACCTCGTTCGCATTGGAGGCTCGGAAGAGTGATTGCACCGATCGCAAGTGAGGACGGACTGATCAGATCCGCGGAGATTGCAACGAAAACTGGAACATTGACACGTCCTGTAGGACGGTTAGCATTACTGGAAGCTTTTAATGATGAGTAACGTTCCCCCCGTTCACGTCACGGGCGGGGGTGTTTTGGACTTTGTCCAGTTTATTATATAGTTCATGTTAATTTATTATGGTAATAGACTTGTGTCCAGTAACATTGAAAATAGAGAGGTCAGAGGACGGAACGAACACAAAACGTTTTGAGAAACAGGGTTTTTCTGTAAAAACTGTTGAGTTGTACTAAATAAATATATGAAAACCTCATGGTTAATGAAAATTACACGCCGTCTATAACAGTAGCTAACCGTTTAAACTAGAAAATAAGGCCAAAACGTTGTAGTTTTTGAGAGGTGTGTCAAGAAGATTTTTGGTTTTGTAAGCTAATTTTCATCGCAAATGTACGCGACATAGAAAATCCCTGGTAATAAGTCAATTTATTATTTTTGTTACTATTATATATCAATTCACACATCCACAGCCATCCTGTAATCTCATGGCAGACGTATCTAAAAATATAAGACAGGGTTCGTACAAAACTTGAAAATCCTTGAGTTTATAAAGACGTGCTCGAAAGTCCTTAAATTGTTCTTGCTTTAGTGGATATTTTCTGAAATTGTTTGGCATTAAGAATTGGACAATTGACATTAAAAATTGTTTGGCATTAAGAATATGACAAAGGCCAAAGTTGTTTGAACAGTTCGACGTCACTTTTTGTTGATTTCTAACGCCTTCTTTTCAGCCTTTAGTCCTTGAGTTTATTAAACGGCTTCAAACACGACTACAAATTCAATAGATATACTGCCTTATTAGTATTCTTTATATAAAGAATACTAATTAGGAGTGTTTTATCCGGTTTAAAGCCACTGCACGTGATATATTATGGTTGACATGATTTGCCAATAAGCTTATGAATTACAAAAAAAAGTGTTTGAGTTGTGTTTCGGATCCGAGCATTGATCAATGAAGATTTTATATAAACTTCATTATTATGTTAATTGATTAATTCTTTCTTTTTGAAGGTTTTGCATTTTCACTCCACAATCAAGACAAACTGAGGTATGAATATAATTGTGCAGCAAGAACGAGCAAAAATGACATAATATGAAAAATACAATTTTTAACTAATTTTATATTTACTGTTACATTATCTATAGTCGAACTTTTCGATAAAGAATTTGTTAACTTAGGATTACCCACGATACAATTGATCATAATTATCATTTACTTATTCTTTTTCTCAACGTTGGTTAAGTAAATGATAAAACAATTATAGAACTCGGTTATCGCTCTGCCTTCGGCACCCGCAAATAATTGATCTGCTTGCCACTGACAAATCGCAACATTTTCCTCAACCTCGTCCAATAATTGTATATAAGTATATTATCATTTACTTATTCATGTTCTGAACGTTGATTGGCTAATTTTCCTACTAATAACTGCATGGTGAGAATAATACGTCTGCTGCAAATAACTGCATGGTGCAAATAATGGTCCGGGCATGCGCACTTTTGAAATCAATTCTCAGTTGCGAAATATCGATTTACGCATGCGCATTTAAGATTGTTAAAAAGCACCAAATTTCAAAAATAAACACCAAAGTAAACATGGCCTGTTACATTTTCAGCTTTTGTTATTGTCCAGATTTGTTGAACTTCGAAAATGAATAAGTAAATGTAAAACAATTATTGAACTCGGTTATTGCAAAATATCGCGATTTATCATCAGTCGCTCGCACATCAATTATTTGCCTCTGCCTTCGGCATCGGCAAATAATTGATCTGCACGCCACTGGCAAATCACGATATTTTGCTCAACTCGTCCAATAATTGTATAATATTATTTTAATTAGGAAATTACTGTAATTGTCGTTACTTTATTATTTGTCATTATGTTTGCAGGAACTGAGTATTAACGAGACAACGGGTATTGATATGTCTATCACAAATGAAAGAGTGATATTTTTGGACACACAGGTAATACTTATATCAAATGATTTCATTACGTGGACACATCATTTGCGACAATATAGTATATATACCTGACCTATATATATTTCTGTCGCCCATGATTTTTGTATATAATACAGTACCTCTTTCCTTTACTATTTTTCTGTATGCATATATTCTTATACAGTTTTCGTAATATTTGTAATCTATGTTGCTGCAGTGCTTCCACATTAAAATTCTCAATTTAAAATTTAAGATTTAATCATTAATTTCCAAAATTGTTTGTTTGTTTGTTTGTTAAACTTTATTGAGTACAAATTAATTCAACAAATATTCATCTAACATACAATTAATTAAAGAGCTGTACTCAAACGGACAAGGCACAAACTGGACGTAAAGTCCATTGCATGGTGCCCCTCCTCTTCCTAACATAAAACTTTTAATTCACAGTATACTGTACAGGGTGTCCCAAAAAACCCACTGAATGATACGTAATCCACTGAATGATAAAGTAACATTCTTACGTATACGTAATTGCAGTAACAACTGAATTGCTTTGGAATTGTATTGTTGTGTATTCGGATCCCAGAATCGCCACCGTTAACAACCGTACTGTGCGTTGAATTAGTATTCCCATTTTCTTATTTGGTATTAACTGACTCGGCCGGTACTTTGCCTAAAACATGCACTGCTTTCCTTTTCAATCAAGCTGTAAGTTTTCTAAATTACCCTGTTTCATTTAGGTGTTAAACACTTCAGCATCTCAAGTTTTCATCTTATAAAGTATAGTATATGTTACAATTTTTAGCCGATACTAAACGCTTCTATTTTGGACAATGTCATCCGCCATGAAAGAAACATACCTTCCGAAGTGACATCTGCTGAAAACTATGCTGAATTGCAGGTGCTAATTTACAACATTTTTCATTAAACGTTTTCCACCATTAGTGTGTATTATTTGCATGCCTGACAAAATTAGGGATTTTTTTGTGCGTAATTCAACAATTTACTGTACCGTATTATATATCTGGTACAGCCTACAGCTCTTTCAATTAAGGTTGTCCCCCGAGCAAAGCGGAAAAGTCGAATACGAGCTCGAAAGGCTGCTGGGATTTGCTAATAAATGAATGAATTTATTAACGATTCCCAGCAGCCTTTCGCGCTCGTATTCGACTTTTCCACTTTGCTCGGGGGACAACCTTAATTGAAAGAGCTGCACATATAGACCGTTGTTTGAGCGGCGTACGCAGTGTATATCGCTCATGTTATAAGTGATCTATATAGGCCTGTTTTCAGGAAATTTGAAGTTGAATTCTAACACTCAGCCTCAGGCCTAAAAATTCCATAATTGAAACCGTTCATGAAAAAACTTAAAAACTGAATCTGCTTATTTTTTAAGGTAGTAATATAACCACTCAGCACAGCATTTTCACTGTTACTATATCATTCTATACCTTACTTGTATTAAAATTCGCGCATCGCTGAGTGCGCGAATTTTAGTACTGCGCGAAATATGATCCGCGCGAAAAGCTTTGTGGTGTAACATGAGACATTCATTGTTAGTTATGCAAATCAGTTGAGTTATTAACTGATTTGCATTACTATTTGCATTATGTTGTTGTATTAGGCAAATGAGAACCATGTATTTTTTAGCAGCATTAAAAATTTAATACCTTGCGCGCGAAATTTAACAGCTTAAAAACGCATTTTGAGTTCATGGGCGAGAAGTTCGTTATGTGTTTTATTAATGGTCCAAATATCAATAAATTTGCTCAATTTTAATTCCTTTAATAGCTGCTGAAACTTTCATTTTTTGGCACCATTGCCTTTCACGCATACTTAATTAATGCAGTTACCTAATTTGCATATAATATTGTTATTTTACTTTTTTACAATAACAATATATACAAATCATGAACGGATTTGTGAAGTTAAGAGCCGTTTCAAAATTGTCTACTTTTTTCTGATACACCTTGCATGCAGTATATGGCTTGTGCGATTTTGGCAAAAGTCGTACAATTGCTGTATCGCTGTCTTATACGAGGTCTATACTGTACACTTCCTTCCATTTGGTTTCAATAGCCATATTGTTGTTTTTTTAGTCTATACAAATTACCACATTTCTGTTCACGGTCTGTCATGTAGTCTTAGTGGTTCAAGATTGGTTTTGTGATCTCAATATTATGAGGTAATACGTACAGTACTATTTTCGTTCCTGGGTAGAGAACTACTACTACTACATTTGCTTTCAATTGGCAGACAATCGGCCTAATGTTGGGTGTGTTATTGGGCCGTGTCCCTTCCATGTATTTGCTGCAAATTTTATTCCCCGAATCCTTGTGGCTCTCATGAGTAAAGGGGCTTTTACACTGTATGTAACAACGTATTAAGATTTATACTTTCATTATTATTATTTTTTTACGAACATGGAAGATTTCTGAAAACAGCGGAAATGTTGAAGCCTACGTCAGGTGCCCACACTGCTACGCACGACGGTTCGAGGTATGTAATTTTGTTCATAGAGTTCATGTTGGATTCTAGCAGCCAACTAATGAATATTTATCATTTATAGTCCAGGATCTACAAATGATATATTATACCGAAAGTTAAAGATCCTACTAAGTTCAGAATAAACTTTAAAACTTACCGAATATTAATAAAGCGAATGCAATTTTTAATTATACCTTATGTATACCTAGAGTTTTTGACGTTTTCTCTTTAAAATATTTGAGCATGCATGTATCCTTTGGATTATTGAAGGTACAGTAACATACGTCTTGAATCATTAAATCTTCTGTACGAATTTACAAACAACAGTTCACGAACGCCATAATGTTTGATAGCGTGGTGTCCACGCGTGAGCATGAGATATTAGAGAAGTTAAGATACCCCGGTTCAATCCCCGGTTTACGGGTACGAGTATCGCCATTTTGTTTACCAATTTTTGCTGATGTCAGCAATTTTACCCGTAATTTCTACCCGTTTCCCCGCGGTAAACCGTGGTCTACACGTAAACGACAAACGGGTACGGGTGTTTCCTGTTTACTATTTTTGAGCCGTTTAAATAGTACAAATTGTTAACATTTTACCCAAATAAATAATGCACATATACTGGTCAAAGCTTTTAACAATTTATGGCGAACCTCAACAGCAAAAGTTGCCATTCTCTTATTGGTTTTCTCACGCCGGAGTATTTTGGATTTCTTAAGTTACAAGCTATTCCCCCATTTACGGGTACGGGTACGTGTATATCACCCGTACCCGTAAATCAGAACCGGGGTATCTTAACCTCTCTACTATAATATAATCCCACGGTAGATCCACCGTTGGATATACTGTAGTATCTCACGCTGCATTGCGAAATCGTGAATTTGAGTGAAATACCGTAAAAATCACATTGTCACCCGGTACAAATGCCGTTTTTTGATTGGACAATTTGAATTTGAGGTATAATGTTGCAATTCATCACGACATCATATATCTGAAAATGTAGGCAAATATGAATTTTTCAACGAAGGTATTACACCCGTTTTCAAAATTACGCGACCAAGGACGAAAATGCTAGAGTTGACATGTCAGTTTTATGTCGTTCGGTCAAGAAGTTTAAACTTTGAGTTTTGCGGTTCCCTTGTCGATGTATATGCTCTGTATGCTTTATATAAACAGCCTTACAATGATTTTCAAGATATTTTAGTGAGAATTATTGCAAAATTTAAGCACAAACAAAATCATAACATCACCGTTATAGTCTAGCGCGCGTGTTTTATACTGACAGCTAAATTCCGGGATAAATTGTTATTTTTCAAACTTGAAAAGTTATTCACGGCACATATTTCTGTTGTGATGGTTTGTATTGTGCTTTAGCTTGTATCTCTAAGTTATCTCACTCATTTTTGTTCAGTTTTGGTATTAAATACGGTTTAAAATGCCTTTTGACAGTTTGTTTACGTTTGCTTTTTTTAGCAGTTTTTGTGACATAAAACTTACATTTGAAGTAAGAGTATTTTTCAGGGAGGTCGCGTAATTTTGAAAACGGGTGTAAAATTAATTAGAAATACATGCATGCAGCAACCCCTTGTCTATATTTTCCAAACATAGATTTAACATTTATTAACAATTGACCAACACTGAACGCAGGCTCGCGTTGTACGTCAAATGTTGCCGTGGCAACACGGTAATTTAAAAATTTTTAATTTTTTTTTGTACAAAACGGCACAAATAGTTGAAAGATTTAATATATATTATTTTGGTCGTGGGAATGCAATTTTCACAAAATTTCGAGCGTTAAAAATCAATTGTTACTTTTAACCGCGCAGCAATGAATTTCCGAAATATGTACTGTACTATAGGTATGTTATTTTGCATTTTGTGAGCTTCGATTTACTGCAAAATTTAACCTGAATGACTGAATCGCTTCCTAAAATGTTTGAAATGTTCATTTATTTATTTATTTATTTATTTATTAACTTTACAACCGTATATAAAATAGATTAAACCCTACATAATATGGTTGAAGGTGTGGTCAACAGGATATGAATAGCCCCATGTGAAGACCAACCTTAATGAAAACAAACTGTAACAAACATAAATCAAAGACGAGAACAAATATACAATTTACAGAAAACATGACGAATTACGAACAACAGCTTAAGTTGAAAGAGCGGCACTTAGAACAGAAGGTTTTTCAAGTGCGCATTCATTTTTTGTTCATTCAACTATTAACACTGCTTTCGCCGATAAATTGTTTTTGCTTAATACAATAATATAAGTTCAAATTGTTCAGTAATTTCAGTTCGGTTCAAATTAATTTGCTTTCCTTAATATTTTATTATTTTTCTTAAATTAAACAGGGTAATTTAGAAAACGTACAGTTTCACTGAAAAGGAAAGCAGTGCGGGATTTAGGCAAAAAATGAAAGCAACAAAATTCATAAACCCTATATTTCTGTAATTGTTCTCATTTCTTCAAACAAAAATTGCTTCAAAGCAATTGCTTTTGAAAATTGAAATCTTGCTTATCCCTCTCCTGCCAAACAGCCATATTGTTTAGATCAGTGGGAGGTCATCATGATCCCCCATGACACCCATGATCCCCCATGACACCCATGATCCATAGTCACGCACCCGCGATTATTGATGCACTTTAGACTTCACTAATGCTTTCCTTTCCGCGGGTGTAAATAGCTAGCCGAGCGGAATTAGTACCCTCGCTATGAGGGGTGGAATGGGACAAAAATATAAATTGGTGAAGACAGATGTTTTCGGGCAATGTCTCATGTTTTCGGGCCGTATGTTTTCGGTTCACATGTTTTCGGGCAATGTCTCATGTCATCGACATCGGGCCGTATGTTTTCGGTTCACATGTTTTCGGCGGGCAATGTCTCATGCCATCGACATCGGGCCATATGTTTTCGGTTCACATGTTTTCGGGCAATGTCTCATGTCATCGACATGGGGCCGTATGTTTTCGGTTCACATGTTTTCGGGCAATGTCTCATGTCATCGACATCGGGCCCGTGTGTTTTCGGTTCACATGTTTTCGGGCAATGTCTCATGTCATCGACATCGGGCCATATGTTTTCGGTTCACATGTTTTCGGACCGCATGTTTTCGGTTCGCATGTTTTCGGGCAATGTCTCATGTTTTCGGGCAATGTCTCATGTGATCGGGCAATGTAAAGGCTACATCCGGGTTACCATCGATTTGGCGCTTTTTTTGTCACGTGGGTTTTAAACTTTTCTTTAACAATAATCATGCAAACTGCAAAGTGTTTCACTGTTTTTATGTACTATTTAAAGCACGCGTAGTCGTGTTTTATCACATATAAAACACGACGCGTAGCGGAGTGTTTTATATGTGATTAAACACGACTACAAGTGCTTTAAATGGCTTCAAAAACGACTCATCTTATAGGAGTTCATTGGCGAAGTAATTTTTAAAATAAACTTTGTCTAAACCGAGAAAATCAAAGCTAAAGTTTATGGAGGGTCCTGAAAGGGTAAAATGGGAACTGGGATTGACCTATTTTTAGACTGGGAAAATGGGATTTGGGTTGCTGGGACTGGGATTTGGCCACTGGGAATGGGAAATGAAGTCCTCAAAAATGGGAATGGGATTGAGGAAATGTGAATCGATTCCCAATTTTTTCACGTTTTAAGTATTTTAAAATACAATTTTGATCTGTTTTTGGTGTCTTTGGTCATTATTATAATGTATCTCTTTAGTACAAGTTGTACAGTCTAAAATGTACTTTTATTGCCTTCAATATCAAAACCCTATTTCCTTACACGTGGTCTCTTTCTGATACCTAAATATATATTACATCACGTGACATGACGTGACTACATTACATCCCTCCTTTTCTTTAAAATAACTCATTAATGTTAATTGCTGTTTATTGAATATTACCTTATAAAGTCTACGTGTCCGCTTTACCAGTAATTATTTAACTAGTTTTAACATGTCTAACTTCTATAAAAGTCCGGTGGTCTTCGATTTTGTCTAAGACAATACCTTTGTTGTAGATCTGGTAGATCTTGTTGTTGCTCTTCAACTATTGTTGGTTGCTGGTTTTCTACTATGCCGTCGTCAAAATCGTCTTCTTCATCATTCTGGTCTTCCTCACTTGCGTTCTTGTAATTTGTGAGACATTTGAAACACGATACATTCCGGGTTACGGTGCGCTCTGTATTACGAGCTGTTACCATGTTGCCTTTGATTTCAATCACTTTAAATGGTTTTGGATTGAAAGGCATTGATAACTTATTGTCCTTCGGGACTTGCATTAGCACGTAATCACCAACTTTCAACTGACTTTCTTTCGCGTTGTTTCTTCTATCAGCATGGACTTTCATTTTCTCCTTTTCCTCCTTATCTCGAACAATGTGGTGTTCCACAGGGCCATCATTGTGTTGTAGGGATGAGAAACTAGGAAGCTTATTTCTAATTGAGCGATTGAACAAAAGTTCAGCTGGACTATGGTGTGTCGTAGAATGAGGTGTGGATCTGTAGTTGAGAAGAAAAAGATCTAATTCACTTTGCCATCTTTTTCCTTCCGAATGAGCAGTACGGATTGCTTTTGTTACTGTTTTCATGAATCGCTCTGCCTCACCGTTGGCTTGAGGCCAATAAGGTGTGATTCGGCGGTGATGGACTCCATGTGCAGCTAGATATTCGGTGAACTCAACCGCATTGAACGGGGGTCCGTTATCGGTTATCAATTCTTCGGGATATCCATGTCGGGCAAAGATTCTTTGGAGTTTGGAAATCACAACCGTGGTTGTCGTGCTTTGCATCACTTCAACTTCTGGATATCTGGAATAGGCGTCAATCACGACCAACAATTTCTCGCCATTTGGGAATGGACCACAGAAATCTGCATTAAGTGTGTGCCAAGGATGTGGAGGTAACTTTGTCATATTCAGGGGTGGTTGACATTTTGGTGACTGGTGTACTGCTGCTTGGCAGGGTATACATTCTTTAACCATTTGCTCCACTTGCTTGTCAATACCAGGCCACCATACTTTACTGCGTACAAGCATTTTAGTTTTAACTATCCCTTGATGTCCTTCATGAGCGATAGACAGGACACGACTACGGAGACTCTTTGGGATAACGATCTGTGAATTTCGTAGTATAACTCCACATTCCGAAACTGTCAACTGTTCGTGCTGATTACGATATGGGCTTAAACAACTATCTGTTTTGTTCCATCGATCTTCCTTTACTGCGCTAGTTACTCTCTGCAGTTCAGGATCATTTAACGTTGCGATACGAATCTCATCGAGCGTGAGAGATTTAGGAACCGAGTGACTTTGGATGAAATTGACATATTTCTCCGCTATGGTACTTGACTTGTAGTTGGTGAATAAAGGTTGTCGAGACAACACGTCAGCTGGGTTGCTGCTACCTGGTCGATACTTGATATTAAACTTGTATTGTTGCAATCGTAGTAACCAACGTTCTATCCGGAGTGGCGGTTTGGACTTTGGGCTGTAAATGACTTCCAATGGTTTGTGGTCAGTGATGAGGTCAAATTGTGTTCCAACAAGGTAAAGATGAAAACGTTCACAACCCCACACTGCAGCCAATGCCTCTTTTTCGGTCTGCGAGTAGCGAGCTTCCACAGGCGTTAGGGAACGACTAGCATACGCTATGCAGCGATCTTGCCCATTTTCTTGTGTTTGGGCTAATACTGCACCAAGTCCGACAGGACTTGCATCCACTGTCAATTTTGTAGGTCGATTTGGATCATAAAATGCCATCGTACAGTCCGAAGCAATAGCATTTTTAACTTTGGTGAAAGCTTTCTCATGCATAGTTGACCAAGACCATTTGCACGATTTGGTTGTTAATTCACGTAGAGGGGCTGTTAGAGTGGAGAAGTCCTTAATAAATCGTGAACAGTAATTGGCCAGACCTAAGAAACTGCGTAGTTGACTGACATCTGCTGGTGTTTTGAAATTTTTAATTGCCTCGACTTTCTTTGGATCTGCTGACAGTCCGTCCTTTGACAGAATGTAGCCATAGAACCAAAGTGACGGTTGATTAAACTTGCATTTCTCCAGGTTTAATGTAAGTTTCTTGACAACTAATCGCTGTAACAGTGCTTCTAAATTCTTGTCATGCTGGGTTTGGGTTTTACCCCATACAATAATATCGTCTGCGATATTTCGTACGCCGTGTAGACCTTGGAGCGCTTGCTGTATTGCATTTTGGAATACTTCTGAAGCACATGACAGACCAAATGGCAGGCGCTTATACCGAAACAACCCCTTGTGTGTGCAAAAAGTGGTAATGTTACGCGAGTTATCTTCTAGGACTATCTGATGGTATCCTGCTTTGAGGTCTAGCTTAGAAAACACGACAGCACCAGACATTTCTTCCATTAACTCATCAACTGTTGGGATTGGATGTCTCTCCCTTAACAATGCCTGATTTGGTCTACGGTAATCTCCGCATAATCTGATTTCATCTGAATTGTGTGGTTTGGGAGCAGCTACTATGGGTGATACCCATGAAGTAGGTCCTTCGGCAGGTTCAATAATATCGAGACTTTGTAATTCTTCTAGTTTATCTGAAACTTGCTTTCGTAAATGGAAAGGGACTCTCCGAGGGCGTTGTGCAATAGGGGTAACTGTACGATCAACATGCAATGACTGTTCATAATTTTGCAAACACCCTATTCCGTCAGAGAGTTCTGGAAATTTATCTAAAATTTTCTGTGTATTAATGTCAATGTTTTTCAGGCTATTTCTGTCCCTTATTTCTCGATTTCCGGAGTCACTTTGACTGTTCGCGTCACTTCCGTTTGAGTGGCTTCCGGTGTTGATTTCATTCCTACCTCTACTTCCGGTTGTTTTCATGCTATGAAATTTAGAGACTTCGTTAACTTTTATTTTTAAAATGCCTAACTGTGCGGCTGTTTCACTACCGAGAAGTGATCCCGCTTTGCCGTTGACAACATAAAACGTCGATATTGTACGCTTTCCATTCGATTCAACCGCTAAACGACACTTTCCGAGCAATGGCAAGGGCTGAACGGCATTATATGCATATATATTTGTTTGTGTTGGCTCTAATTGTACATGTTTATTTCTTTTCCTAATACAAGCGAATGCTTCACTATCAAGAATATTTGTCGTCGCTCCTGAATCGATAGTCACAGCGATAGGGGTCCCATTGGTCTGTATTTGAATGTTAGTTATTTTTGTTTCGTTCCCCGCAGGAACGAAACGGTACTGTATTTGGTTTCGAGCAATATCACAGGAAAGTGACGTCAGAGATCAAAGTTATCCAATCCTTTGCCAGTATTCTTGCTGAAACGTCAGTTACATTTAGAATCGTCCAATGAGATGACCGCTCCTAGCATAAGAAGTTTTTTGGAGGCGTGGCGTATAATCGGAAATCTTAGTTAATTATATATCAACCTATGAGAACATGCTAACTTAACCTGAAGTTCAGGCCCTAATTTTAAATAGGGCCTGACACAAAACCTGTCTAGACCGTGGGACGCTCACATGTTATTTTTAGACACAACATGCAATATGTATAGGTTATTTTGAGGCAACGAGGGGATATGTGATTTATTCACCGAGGCGCGCAGCGCCGAGGTGAATAAACACATATCCCCGAGGTGCCTCAAAATAACGTACTTATTTTTCACACTGCGAGGTCGCGTTAATGAGTCAGAAAAGAAATCATTCTCAATGCCATATTGCTTTTGCGATGTTGTTTTTTCTCATTTTTTGTGCTGCAAAGACATTGCAGGTGAATATTAGAGGGGATTATTAATTGCAGGTGAATATTAGAGGGGATTATTAATTGCAGGTGAATATTAGAGGGGATTATTAAACGGAAATTGATTAGAGGAGAATATTGAATATATTCCCCGACAAGAACAAAGGAAACCGAGCAGGGTGAAAAATAAGATTGACAAGTGTTGTAGATTTCGTTACACAAAAAATTTATATTCTCATGAACATGTCCGCAGAGTGTGCATTTTGCTTTTTAATTAAACTTAAAAATTCAAGGTACTTTTATAGAATTAAGAGTCAGTTTCTCTATTTAACCGAACAGCAAACAAAGATTCAATTAGTCACTCTGTGTAGTGTGTACAGCTTGATTACCAAGCTTTCTCAAGGTCTCAACTTGCTGGACGCGGATATACCAGGGATATACTCTAACGGGCTAACAACAGCAACAATAAAATTGTCAATCGTACCACGAAGAAGGCGATGTAGCTAAGAAAACAACGCCGGTAGGACCTGATATTTAAAATAAGACTTTTGCCGGCGAAGCCAGTTGGCAGAACATCTTGGCTGTCAACAACAAGCTTTCGAATAGACGACTAGTTTGGCTGTTCTTTCAGCGTCGTGTGTCCAAAATTCGTCAAAGATTTTGATAAAGACCTTTCAAAATACTATTTGTTTGATTTATTTTCTGCCATAAAGCATAAAAGAAAAGAAATTCGAAGAAATCGATCATGGATTTGTTACGTGCGTTTGACCTTTATATTATTATTGTCCCCCTTGAGCCCTTGACCGAGCTATTTTTAAAACTGTTGTTTATGTGAACTTGCAACCAATCAAAATCTTAGGGCCTGAACTTCAGGTTAAATCTACAGGCACGATGATTTATATTTGAAGTATTCAAGCGCCAACAGCGGTATATATTTATTATATAGTTTTCTTTGTTTTTCTTCATTTTAAATACTACTACTATATTTCTGGACCGCTCGGCCCCTCCAGGTAATGAAAATTTATACTAATACGTGCAAAAAATTACCAGAACCCGCCCGCCTCACAAAATGAACCAATTTCATTGCCCGACATATACAAGTGATCTATGGTCACAACCGCTAATTACAGACGTCTGGTATAATATTTCTATAATTATATTGGAACGAAACATTATTTCTTTTTTTAAAGAAATATTTTCTTGTTGATGATGAAACAGCAAAAGTATACTCATCGTCGGACGAATTAGGAGGGCTTTGATTTTGGGTTTGTTGTTGTTGTGCAACTCTAACAGACTCTCTCGAATCTTTCTTACTATCTTTCGGGGGATTTTTTCGACTTCGACAAACTCTAGCGAAATGATTGAGCTTTCCACAAGCTCTACAGGTTTTGCCCTTCGCAGGACAGACATCTTTATGCCCTTGTTTAAATTCATTTCCACAATTTCGGCATTGATTTTGTTTGTGTGGTTTTGGTACATATTTAGCATGTCTTACCTTGTCTTTAGCTTCGTCATTTCCCTCGTCTTTTACACGATTAACATTGTTCCGAGAGTTATTGTGTCCCGAGATATTCGACGCTTGTTTTTCTGCTAATTCCTTCGCTCGCGCCATGGTATAATAAGCTTAGCCAATGTCAGATCTGTCTCGCGTAAAAGCTTCGTACGAAATCCATGAGACGAGCATGTCATAACAAACTGATCGCGTATTTCATTCTCGGCGCTTTCGAATTCACACGTTTCGGCTAGTGTACGTAGACGAGTTATGTAGCTATCTACCGATTCTCCAGGCGTTGGATGTGTCTGTTTAAACACATAGCGTTCATATATTACGTTCTTTTGTGGCTGAAAATATTCGTCGAGCTTCTCTAGAGCTGTTTTGAAATCTGTCCCGGTGTCTTGTAGTGTTTTGAATATTTTATGAACCGACGGGCCAGCTACATACAATAACACTGCGCGTTTCTGTGCATCATCCTTGATGTTGGCAGCTACTGTATACATATTAAAACGTTCTCGCCATTCTTTCCAGCGTTGGGCTAGCGAGGAATTATCACCGGCCTCTGCATCAAACGGAGGTGGTGGTTTTAAATCCAAAGTTGTGGCCATCGAGATTTCTTCTGTGTTCACTTCTTCTTCGTTTGGGTTCAGCATTAAAATACACTCGTCGCCAAATATAATGTATCTCTTTAGTACAAGTTGTACAGTCTAAAATGTACTTTTATTGCCTTCAATATCAAAACCCTATTTCCTTACACGTGGTCTCTTTCTGATACCTAAATATATATTACATCACGTGACATGACGTGACTACATTACAATGATTTTTGTTGTTAACTATATTATTCACAGCACTAACTGCGAACAGGCATCCTCTGGCGCCCGGAATTCTTGGTTTTATGATTATGCGTGTCTCAGAATGCTGCAAATGCCATTTCCGGGATTCAAATTTAAAAATTTTCCGTGCCTTCAGCACGACCCTCCCCCCGGTGGCTTAAAAAGTCTCAAAACTGTTTATTCTACCGATAAATAAAGGGTTTTTTATTGACTGTGATTTCAATAACTCGGACTGGGATTTCTAATAAAAATTCAACTGGGACTGCGATTTTGCCAAAATTTCAGGTGGGATATGGGATTGGGACCCCCCGGACCCTCTTTATGTAAATTAACGTGATTTTGTTATCACATATAAAACCACGACACGCTTATGATTTTTCTTTGTGTTTTCCTCCTGAATTATTAATGAGTTTTTGAAGGTTGATTTATAGTGCTTTCCAGTTCAAGGGGTTTTATTTTTTTCAAGGGCCAAATTTAAATATGGCTAAAGTATTATAGTTCTGTTTTAAGTACATGGAGATTCATAACGTCGAACAAGTGCGTATACAATGTAATTTAATGTGTTCTACTTCCACAATAAAAATACAGTATTGTAAACAATCTATTAAACAGGATTCGTTTTGTATATTGTGGAACTAAAACAAATTAAATTACATTGTATACGTACTTGTTCGACGTTATGAATCTCATGTACTTAAAACAGAACTATAATACTTTAGCCATATTTAAATTTGGCCCTTGAAAAAAATAAAACCCCTTGAACTGGAAAGCACTATAAATCAACCATAAAAACAGTGAAACACTTTGCAGTTTGCATGATTATTGTTAAAGAAAAGTTTAAAACCCACGTGACAAAAAAAGCGCCAAATTGATGGAACCCAGATGTAGCATTTACCATTGCCCGATCACATGAGACATTGCCCGAAAACATGAGATATTGCCCGAAAACATGCGAACCGAAAACATGCGGCTCGAAAACATACGGCCCGATGTCGATGACATGAGACATTGCCCGAAAACATGTGAACCGAAAACATACGGGCCCGATGTCGATGGCATGAGACATTGCCCGAAAACATGTGAACCGAAAACATACGGCCCGATGTCGATGACATGAGACATTGCCCGAAAACATGTGAACCGAAAACATACGGCCCGAAAACATGAGACATTGCCCGAAAACATCTATCTTCACCAATTTATATTTTTGTCCCATTCCACCCCTCATACCTCGCCCCTGGCTGACCGCTGACGCTCGGAACGGGCTTTGCGCTGTTGGCTTTGGGATAAATATTAGTATTACATTTCTCCTTCAGTGCCCCAAAAATCACAACTACCAAAAATCATATTTCGGATTGTTGGCACTTTATGAAGAAGTACTATATGCTTCGTTTTCTAGTGAACGTGGGGGACGGGTTCATGATAATTTTGGGAGTGGAGTGAAATATGTATATTTTCCCTAGCCTTTTAAGTGAGGTGCTATCTATTGTTTTTGCATTATCCTCTTTAATTTCAGTAACCTATTACCTGAGGAATTCGATGAATACTATCCAAATATAGGTAAGTGAATATTTAAAGTAATTTAACTTCAAATACCTTCCGTGACCGCCCTGTGTCATTTCAAGTGCTTTGTGTTTGTTATAAAAATCGGAAAATAAAAACCAGAGAATTATTATTACGAAAGTACGTTTTCTAATATTTACTTCACAGAATTTGTTTTAAAAAACGTCAAAATAATTTTAAAAATTACAAGGAAGCATAAATCAGATATGGTACTTTTAAATACAATATGCATGCGTGTCACATGCAGTTATATTCGAGAAAACGTCCGTAAGGTTAGTAAGTTATAAAATACTCTGTTTTTTTCAAAAGTAATAATTGACACATGCAATTATCCTAAATTTTGGATCGATATATTGTATTTTTAAAGCCCCGTACTGACGAGCAGTTTTCGAATTCCTCGACAAGTTTTCTTTCTCGTGTGTACCGTCAACAAGTTTCCCTTGACAAAGCTTGTTGCCCGTGTGCACAGAATGTTGTCAATCATTTATCTCAAGTCAAGACGACCTTTTGTTTGACAGGGTTCGTGCTACTCCTTACAGTCCTTAAATACTACTTGAATACGTTTTGACTTTTCAACCATAGTATTAACTTTTGTTAGTTCCCATAGGTCTTTCGTGGTGCAAAAACCGGCATTAGAAACAAATCGTTGATACAAATTCGTCAATATTACACCAAGTATTTCGTTTGGAAGCTACACTGGCCAATTATCCGTGGGCTCGATTTGGGTTCGATTTTCCCTCCAATATCTATGTTTTCATTTTCCTTGAAAAAAAATCTCAAACACTCCTTGAAAAGTGCTGTTTTACTACTCAAAACCCTATATATTCTGAAATATTTCTTGTACATTTGTCAAGTTTTTCTTGATCGTATACGCACGAACAAATTTTCCTTGTCGAAAAGCTGGCACGGAACAAGACTCCTAATTGGCAAGGAAAAATTGTCTTTTTTGTCAATTTTCCGTCTACAAGAATTAAGAACAACGAATTTTATTTTCCTGAACAAATCCGCTCTCTTTCTTTAGTTTTTGTTTACAACAAGTGCTGTAGAGAGGATTTTGAAGCACGCAATGTCCAGAATATGCTACTTGCCACAGATGTAATTTTTCAGACTTCCAGACTTAGAACAAAAAGTAAGTCGTATAATAATCATATTATACAACATGATCATGATGATGTTACCTATTGTAATCATGGGATATTTATAATTATTGCCGTACCGGACAACAAAAACCCGCAAGTTCTAAAGACATTCATAAGTTGCCATCATAGAAATTATTTCAATGGCTGCCATGCATATATAATTTAATTATACAAGTGCTTTTTTAAAAACAAACGAAATCATGACCTTGAAGGAGTTTGTATATATGACACAATAGGGCCGCTCATTTTCTAAATAATTATTATATATACTTACTCTCTTGTTTGTAGTACTCAATGAGAATACATTCTATCAAATTCTGAGGCTTTGAAATA